ATTTCAATAACACGGACAATTAATTTATACATGTAAAAGTATTTTAAGAAGTCGATATATATTTCGTTCATGCAGTTAAATGTTTTACCTTGGTTTCTTTTTTCTCATTTTTATAATTGTGTTCATTTAAAAAATAGACACTTGTTTTTCAAACAAATATCGTTAATTCTAATTAGAGATCATCATGAAATAAAGATAGTCATAGTAAAATCTTAAGATTTTCATTTACATTTCATGTTGACCAATTTCGTTTAATCAGAGGAAAATAAATAAATTAAGGAAACAGTAATTTACCGATGTTTAAATCTCATTAGAACGAGACAATTCAACGTAAAAAACAGAAACTGAGATAAACGCCTGAACTCCGAAAGGTACGAGACTGGGTGCTTCCTCAGGGTAAGCGTCTCCTGCTATGCATTCATCACCCGCTTTTCGAAATCACACTCAGTCAATATGTCATAATCTAAAATAGGACACAATCGGCAAAATTACAGATCACACTAGTGAGTTGACTCAGTTGAGACACCGACACATCGTATCGGTCAACTAATTTGTGATGGTGAACGCAAAATTTGTGAAATGTCAATTAAATCGTTCTTCCTTATAACTTTGTTGGATCAGTTTTTGTGTAAGAAGCAAACCCCTGTTAATGAAGAACGTATAGTGTGAACATGCCCAAGCGTAACGATGTAAACGTCAAACTATGGAATAAGGGGAATGTTATTGCTGAGAAATGGGAAGTTGACAATTGGAAAATTGAAATCGTCACTTTTGTCATAGACTCTAGTTTGGAGTCGTCCATCTGTGTCAATATCTAAGTAAAGATTAAGATAGTAAGCAGACCTTCTACTTTCGGTAATGCTTAATCACAAGTTCACTGGGATATATGAGATGTAAACACTCATTGAAATGTGGGTAATTGAGTGAAAGAACAGAATCAATATATCTGAAAGTGAAATTAAAGAACTTTACAAGATGCATTTTTTGTTTGTCTTTGGGAAGGTTCTGTATGATTTCAGCTTCATATGAGTACAAAAACAAAGGAGTAGGCCCTGTCCTTTTGACCCCTAAAATATAGCATTTTAAAATTTTGTGAAAAATGTAAACTTTTAGCTATTTATTGGAAAGTAAAATACTTCTGTTATATAAATATGGACCGTTTATGACGATACAATGTACATGCATCAGGTACTAGCATCATTAATGCATGCAAAATTTCTGAAGTCTTCATAATTTTACATTTGCGCTAATTTCTAGACGGTTTTTGTCTTAAATGGAAGTGGCCGCAGTTGTGTTCAGTCTTAATATATATGTTGTATTTGATGATAATACATCTTGTGTCACATAGCTACAAGTTCTCACTTTATGTCACATAACAACATGTTCTCACTTTGTGTCACATAACTACAAGTTCACACTTGTGTCACATAACTACAAGTTCTCATTTTGTGTCACATAACTACAAGTTCTCACTTTGTGTCAAATAACTACAAGTTCTCACTTTGTGGCACATAACTACAAGTTCTCACTTTGTGTCACATAACTACAAGTTCTCACTTTGTGTCACATAACTACAAGTTCTCACTTTGTGTCACATAACTACAAGTTCTAACTTTTTGTCACATAACAACAAGTTTCACTTTGTGTCACATACCTTAAAACTACAGTTGAGGATATGTTTTCTTTTATTCAATGGATATTTCATCACAGGTCTGTATTTCTGAAATATAATGCATTACCACTCGTTGTTTAATATTAAATAAGAAGTGGTATGATTGCCAATGAGACAACTCTTCATCGGAAGTTAGGCCTTGAGCATCACTGAAGAGACATACATTAGCAAAATGTGCCTATGGAGCACTAAAGATGTACCGGTACCGTTCAATGTTACTATTGATCCCTCTCTCTAGCCTCACTCGTTTAGTCATAAGACTTTTGCCGACAGGGATATCCGTTTGTGTGTGCAGGATGTATAAATACATATCCACGTCTGGTCGAAGTGGAGCTAAATCCGATTCCCCGTTTTGGAACGCTCTGTTTCACTATTAATATACTAGAGGCTTCAAAGAACATGTCACTTTTTACATAATATCGATACAATCTTATTTTAAAGATCTTGTCTCGTGATCATATTTGCTGTTTTCAGTTTCTTTCTATCTACTTTAGGATCAGGTTGCCAAAATATGGCCTTGAATTTCACATCAATCATGAAATATTAAAAAGGTCACAATTTGGTTTTTAAATGAATGTTTCGAATGCCTAATGCTAAGAAAAAAACAAATAACTTTACAAGAGTACATTATCGGTTCCAAAGTAAGCACAGTTTGTAGAAGTTGTCAAAACACAACCATTGTAAGCACTTTCGGAAATAAAAGCAAGGAACAAATTGGCTGAGACATACGATCAAAAATGTTCTTGACCAAAATGTGCTAAGGTGTATATTGAATACCTAGACACAAAAAATCTGGATAATATTGTGATTAAAATTTGATATAAAGAATTTTTAGAAAAAGGTGTAAAATTGGACCAAACCTGATCGTTACAAACTAATGCATAATTGAAAGGATTTTGTATTGCCAATTATATCAAAACCAATGAAATTTATAGTATTTTGGCCGAATTAAAAAGAAAACTAAAATCTTAAGGTCAATTTTAACCCGATTCGTGAACCTACTTTATAAACGGGAAAAGTATAAAATTCGTCATTGTAGGGCAATACCAATATTTGCAGATCTTGTATAGATCATTATTGCTGTTAAAAGATTTTGTCTATCTATTATATCTTTTAAGATTATTGGGTTAAAAATCGTCATTAAAGGGCACAACTCCTACAAAAATTTGTTTTACGATTTCGGTCATTTGAGCTATTTGTAGATCTTATTATGCTGATCATTTTCCCGTTTAAGGTTTCTGGTTGTCTACTATACTCCTAGGGAAAGACACAAAAGCGGGTAAACATCGTTATTAATTAAAGGGGAAAATTTCTTAAAGAAGTCGGCGGACGATATCGGCCATTAATTCCCTTCAATGACGATTTTTACTCCAATATCTTTAACTAGATACTATATGGATAGTTCCGATTGGCCAGGTAGTATCAGAAAAGATTTTATTGAATGACTAAATAACGATAGGCACCAAAAAAGCAATAGCAATTATATTGACCCTTTTGGAAAGGGGAATCTGAACGGTCCGGATTAGGAACATCTTTTGTTATCTTACTTTAGGGTTTGGCTTGTGGTTATGAATGATTCGAATGTCAAACACCTTAAACTCGCAAATACAAATTTAAAAAGTTAAAAATGCCTTTCTAACATTAATACGATTAAAAGGAAATATGGAGTAAATGTCAATAAGACAGTAACCCAATGGAAAAACACAACCGAGCGAAATCAAGAGGACAAAGTACAGTCTTCAACAACAAACAGGTGTCCTTACAATATGAATCTCACAATCATCCCGATTCTATAAGAGTTAAATCTCCAAAATAACAAAACATTAAGATATGACATTCAACATTTACTGACGAGGTTCCTGCGTGGAACATGCACATGAAATTGTGGCGGGATTAAACTTGTTTTTAGTCAACCTTGTCTCTTTTTTTGTCTCGATCTCATATTATAAAAAACAATACAGTAAAATCACTAATCTCTAAAATAAAACTGAATGATCATTGATAACACAAACACAAAATGAATAACAAATTATACCATATTTTTAAAAAAGCCCGCAGTTACCGAAGGCAAGCTCAGAGTACAGAAATCTTGCCATCCTACACTAATTTTCGGCTGATGTATTTCATACAAGATGTCATATAGTACCATCACACACAGTAAAGGACTATATCAGCTTGTACAATGTCAATGCAAATAATACCGAAACACAAAAGAAACCTTTCAGTATATAATGAAGCGATTTATTGATATATATCCTTAAAGAATAAGAGACAAGTGATTTAACAATTCTTTACCAACAAGTCTATTATGCATATGAGACAGATTTGAAGTAAAATTTATTAAACAGCATTTTAAGCAATATTAAAGTAAAAATCAGGACGTGTAATAACACTTGTATTATTAATTTCATGCACGTTGTATCATACTTCCACAATAAATATTTATATTTGTGATAAAATTTAGTGAACGTTTTGTCCAATTTACAACCCTCCTATAAAAGCTTTTTAGTAATGAAAATATAACGTTCATTGAAATCCTGAAATTTTACAAAATATCCGCACCAACTTTACAAATTTACAATAACTGAAAAAGAATTATTTTTTTCTGAATCACAAAATACATTTAACTTTTTGTATCTAGGTGTTTTGAGACCATTAAATTTTCCGTTTGGTGTAAACACAGCATTTTTGTCAAATTTTCACGATGAACCTAATCAATAAAAAAGAAAAATTCGTCTCACCTATCATAATTATTTTTGTATGAATATTACCATGTGTCCAACTTTTGAACATATTTAAATGTATGAAAAAGTAGCATTTTGAAATACATATATCAGGTACGCTCCAATTATAAAATTTTGGAAGAAAATACTTGAAACATTATGGACATCATCACGCTTATGAAGAATATTAACGAAAACAACAGGCAATAAAATTCCACAAGCCTTTGAGCGAGGAAATGTACATTTGAAGTTAGTATTATCCGCAAATGCTAGTCCAGAAGCTTACATTCTAGGATTATTATTCGTATCGTTGTTTAATTACTTTTCTGTGTCATTAGTATTTCATGTAAACACATGGAAGAAATTCATTCATGTAGTCAATACTGGAAAGAAGTCAAGATATGTTTTAGTTGTACATTCTATGCTGCTAGAAACAATGAAAGTAATATAGTTGCAGTCGATACAACAATACATTAGAACATCTCATCTTGAAAATTGCAATATCTCTGAAATGGTTTATTCATATTTGTTTTTCAGTATCTCAATAATTTTTAGTTATATAAGACATTCTTCAAATAATAACCAAGATTTCTGATGGAAAATATTTATTTTAAAACAGACAATTCTTCTAATTCTGTCCTGGTTGACGGTAAATTTCTTAAACTCGCACAGTGTTTGTATTGTCTGTATTGTCTTTTTCGGCTCGACTGGAAAGTTACTAATTTTATAATATATCTTCTAAATTTCTCACTGAGAAAAATATAAATTACAAAATTTGCCATGCATCCAAATAGCAATATGAAATTTAAAATATCACTTAAAAGAAATTTAACATCATCTTTCATAAACTTAACTTTAAACCACCAAGCTATTACCTCATGGATAACGCCGACTGTCACTGGTATTTCCGTAACTAAAAATATCCCAACTATCCAAGCAGTTTGTGCTGAAAGGCGCATCGGAACATCTTTTCTTTGGTGGACCTTATTTGTATGAATTCTTACAAGTGAAGCCATTTTTAAGTTTCGGATAAGCTTAATTTCCAAAATCAGTAAGATGACACACGGTAAAAGTTTAATCACCAAAACTCGTAATAAACCGTACATACCGTAAAATAAATTTTTATTGTCATTCAGCCAGTTTTGGGGCGACTTCCGGCATGCTGGATGTGCCAAAAATCCGTCCATATCCAAATTCACTAAGACCTCTTCGTATTTTAATCTAAAAGTGAATGGCAACAGAAAAGCAAAGAAGCAGCAACTCATTAGAATCATGTAAATAATTGTGTTTTTCATTGTACAGATGTACTTTGCTTTAAATGGATTCGAAACACAAACATGGCGTTGAATCGCTAGCCCTAGAGTAAGCCACATTGATATACTGTGTAAAATAATAGGTATTTCCATTGTAGTAATGTCATATGCCTGACATAGTTTACACGACGGAAATATCATATAGAATCCGCATCCAAAAACGTACATAAATAACGGGGATGGTATAAATACTGTCAGCATGTCCACAATTGCTAATGCAGCTAGTAAAGCATGATGCGGAGTAAAAAATTTAGCTCTCCAAAATACCACCAGTATTGTGCAATTTATTACCACAGTAACACATGCTAAGCTTGGAAACAAATATCCATTTATAATAAAGTTTGGTGTAGTTCGATGTCTACCCAAATAACAAATTTCGCTTGTAATATTCATTAAATCTTCATTGAATTCCATCGACAAGTTTTCTCCGTCTCCGAGCATTCTTTTATGACCATTAAATCAGTTATCCGTTTAAATGCCTTGCTTTTAAAAACTGTCAGAAACTAAGCATACATAGATTGATGTTCCTTACTTGAAAAACGATAATTAACAGATGATCCAAGCAAACTCTCTATCTTAAGTCCGGCGATGATCAATTTATGGAATCATCGTGAGTGGTTTGTCAGCATTTTCATTAACAGTTATGATAGCAGCAAGATGATCCTTAGATTATACTACTACTACTTAACTTATTTGATATGACATTGATGTCGTGCTCCATACAATAATTTCCTTTCTTCAGCGAATTGATCTTCCCAGCAGCCTTTTATACCTTTATACTTTTTCTAATTAATTCTAATCTTGTAAATACTAATCAAGCCATGTTTTTGTGACGTTGGACTACTATTTATAAGCGATTTTGACACACGTTAGTGGTTGCTTAATATTTCTGATTACTTCAATAACAGATTTCATAGATTATGCTATTAATCTCATATTTTTATACAACGAATCATAAATATTTTTTTGCGGCATAATGTTTTAAAAAGTAGCCATGAATATTTCAGATAAATTCGGTTATCGGATATTTCATATTGTATTTGCCGTTTTACGATAAGAACTTTGCGGCTCATTTACCGTAAAATAAACAGATGAATGTATCTTTCTATAGCATCTCTCGCATTTAATATAAACATAGAAAATTTGTTGTATGTAAACTTTAATTTACACTTTCTACCTTATTGATTCATAGTTGAACAAACTGACAAATGTAATCATACGCAACAAAACGAACTAAGATCTTTATATTAATATCAGTTTTTTTTTTATTAAATTAAAGTTTCACTGTCAGTCTTGATTTTATGATATATTAAATTTTCTTACATGATTTAAGAATAATAACAAAAATATTAATCGTCTCCTTTTAACGTAAGGTTATTGGAATATATCCCTGTAAGATGTTGAAAAGAAATGTCTTCATTGAAGAAATGAAAATATGTTTAATTTTCTACCATTACAATAAAACACGTACTTCCTTCTGCAACACTTATAGCGGAAGCTTTGAAAAGCCAAACACAATAAAATAACAATTTTAGTTGATGTTAAATTGCTTTTAATATCTATCCCTGCAACCTCACATCGATAAATGCATGAATTTTGAAGTATTCGGGAGATTTTGGTTTATTTAGTCTTATCTTTACAAATTTGGAGGTCATGGTAAGTAACCCTTTAACTATGTTTTCAAGAAAATAAGTGCCAATATTCTGTTATAATTTCTGGATGTAATTATCATCGATTTAATAACTAAATGAAAAATAAAAAGTATAATGGGAAATGTTTTTTATTCAAAAGTGTTGCACATAGAACATTTATGAATTTAAAATTTCATAAATAGAATCGACCCCACAGTGTTTTAGACTTGGGTATAGAAATATGGTTACCCAAACTCCTTCCATGCTTTAGAGTAGCGTCCGTCTGACTGTGTTGGATGTATAAATACACATTCACGTTTGGTTTTAATGTGTACGTTCGATCAGATGCATCGTTTAGAGAAAAAGTGTCCGTTTCCATCGCCAACGTAACGAACCCTTGAAACAACTTTTCTATGGATCAGAAGATGAATGGACTACTTACGTTTTAAGGCAAAATATATGCCCTGTCAAAAATACTCTCTTTTTCAATGGAAGTCTTAATTTCTAGCCCATGTTCAGGTCGACCAAAATTTGCAGAAAATACCGATTGGATTCATCGGGAAATTATTCTTGTCACGGAATATGCATGACATATTTGCCACTTAATGTTAATCAAATGACAATCAATTAATTGTATAAATTGAATCTCTCTAAAAATATTTCTGTGTTCTTTTTCATTTTTTCTTCATACTATTTTTGAATTTTAAGGTCAAGAATGTCATTGACATCTAAACTTTCCAAAACAATATTCTTTTTGAAATATAAATTTATACATATCCTTTTTCAAAAAACTCATCATAGATACCAAGATTAAAATTTTGTACGCCAGACGCGCGTTTTGTCTACAGAAGATTCATCAGTGACACTCGAATCAAAAAACTTAAAAAGGCCAAATAATTAAAGTACAAAGTAGAATAGCATTGAACATTTCAAATGTAAGTGTCATTTAGTTCTCTGTCTTACGTTCTGATTTCTATCTTTAACTATCCATTTTTACCGAAATAAAATTATTTGTATAGTATGCTATTACTTTCTTTATAACCTCAAATGTTGGTAGAACCACTTCAAAGAAACTGATCTTGTATAAAAATATGAAAGAACTCAACGTTACGAGTGTCATTCCTGTTCGTCTTCTAATCTCTGATCTGTATCTCGGTAAATGATATTGCACAGTTCACCTTAGGTAAATAGTAAACCAGAGATTCAAAACGCTAACCACTTCTATCTCGTAAGAAATCAAGCGATTCCTACCTCTAACATGCATCAAAAGCTCAACGAACAATGTCTTTTTCATGTTTTTATTAAAGTTAACAATTAATGTTCTTTCAAACAGTCGTATCTGTTTAAGTAATTGAAGGTAAAAAATCAAAGAATGTCAGCGAAAATGTTAAAAAAAATATAAAAATATAAATTTCATTTCACTGGAATCTTTGTATGATTGAGATACATTGTTGCGGCATTAAATTAAAGAAATAGAGATACACGTGTCATGAAAATTGAAATCTGTATAATACGTCAACTTTATTTTAACTCGGTCAGTACAGATGTTGATGGACTGACAGCCCCGCCCGAGAGTACCATCCGCCCAAATAACCAGTTCTATGTAAATGTACTAGCTAAAACTAAGATTGCAACTTCCTGGGGTAAAATTCACCAACTCGGTCCTGTTTTAGGCTTCTTTTCTTTTTTTTCTTTTTGATGATGAATTCAAAAACTTTCTGCATATGACTACTTAAACTTTTAGATTCTAGCGTACATATTGAAGGATGTTAAGGAGTCGTATTGTCCATAAGTTACTAACATATAGATATTGACAATAAGGGTCATTTGATAACAAAACTTTACGACAAAAGGGATTTCAGCTTTCAAATTTTGAACTTCTATATACATGTAGCATCATCCCAGTAGCGCCTGTATATACAGTATATATCTCCCAGTCGATACGATATTATTTCTTTGATAGATGGCCATTGTTTACAAGGAAACTTTTGGACCAAGGGTTCCAAGTGGTAAGGTTGAAGTCATCCCTTCGAAAGTTTTGCGATCGGTATCACTTGTTAGTTGACCGTTATGGCCCCACAAATGACCACGGATATGTTTCAATTTTCGTTATCACAATCCCGACCTCTTTCCCTGGTTGTGACATCACAAAATGAGACTCATCACCAAATTACTTACCATGAGTAACTGTGACGACGGTCACACTACTGGAGCAAGATTCGTTTACCCTTCCGGAGTACATGAAAACATCCCTAGTTTTTGGTGGGATTTGTGTTGCTCCGTCTTTAGTTTTCCATGAAATGTTTTGTTGTTATTTTTCATTTTTTGTCATGACGTTTTCAGTTTCTCTCGAGTTTTGAATGTCCCCTTGGTATCTTTCGCGCTAATTGTGCGCACATTTTTAACATGAACCGCGTACGTGCTTCGTGCAAAGTGTACTCTGTTAACTCTTTTATACCACAATAAATTACAAACACAAGCATTCAATTCTCAAATAGGGGCCTCAGTGTCCGAGTGGTCTAAGTAATTCATCTACTGCATCACTAGCCTGTCAACACTGAGGTTGTGAGTTCGAACCTTCTTAATTCTTAGGATTGAAAGTTTTTCTGCCGAACGCGAAGAATCTTTCTCGCCACCGATAAAACTGAGCACTATGAAATAGCCAATAGTGCTGAAAGTGGCGTTTAACACATAAAAAATCAAACAATCAATCAATCAAATTCTCAAATTGAACAAAAATGCAGATTCGTACCAGGAAAAGGCTCTAGACTGAATTTTCAGTGTGTTAATATAAATCCGGCTTTTTTACGTCAACCTGTTAATTCATCATACTTACATACATGACTAATTATATAAAAACTTTTATGTTTCGACATTATGCAAACAAATTTATATATATATAGATGTATGAAATCTATTCGAGTTCAGAGGTCTCTCTTAGCTGTAAAATTGCATGTTTTCTTTATCAGTTGATTGAATACTTTTAGCTTGGTTAAAGAAATAGCTAGCATTCTTTGATACGAAATTATTTTGCACTATTTTACTTGCGTATGTTATTTTGTCGTCTGGAATATTGATGTTTTTTCTGTGTCTCTTTTTATTGCGCGTTCTTCACTGTGTCTTTGGTTATGTCACTAGGCGATTCAAATATTTTGAGAGCATCAAAGAAAACTATTTAACCTCCCCTCCCCACAACGTGATAATACCACTTTTTGGCCCCTTGTATTAGAAAAAGTATTTATATAGTTAGACCTTTGAAACAACTTACTTCAAATGTTCACCAGGTATAAGATACAAGTGTTATAATTTCTAATAGTGTCTAATTAATTGCTTTTGGCCTTCAAATTTAGGAAAATCTTAACAAACTTTCAAAATAGCCTCGTTTTAGATCTAGTTATCTTATGTGCAAATAGATATTTTGGTACAAGATATCTTTAAATATACAAAGATACCAAAGCAGATAATATATCTTTTTTCAGTGAGGCTGTTGCTCCAATTTGATTTGACCGAAAACTATGTGTAAAATTACCATGTTCGGTTTTATGTTTATAACGTCACAGTGAAATTATAGATAAAATTTCTGCACTCAAGTGACCAGGCTATATCTTAAAAGTACAAATGATTTTGAAATATAGAAGAATCTTATTCTTGCAATTTAAGTGTTCAGTTGTGGATCTACTATTATATTGTTTAATCCCTCATTTACAAATCGTGTAAACATGCTAAACAAGAGCGGATAACAGTTTGTCAAATGTTGAAGACCGTGACATCGTGTATAGTTTTTGTGGCTATTTGAAATCTTCTTGTCTCTTTTTCTTTTGGTTCCTTCCGATTTTCCTTTGGCTCGTTGCTGTCGTTTATTCAAAAAAAAAACTATAACAATTGTAAATTGTAGATTTGTACTGAAGTGAATATCTGATAGATTAAAAATAACCGGAATTTATTCTGTAAACTTATTTTTTCATCAAATAATTCCACTATTCGTTTGAAGTTCTGAAAGAATTTTATTCTGCTGTAAAGTCGATTCTCTGATGTTTTGTCTATACAGTATATACATAAAAATCGATTCAATATTTAAACCAAAAAAACTGATAATGAATTGTAACAGAAAACTTTAATAAATAGGCACTTTACAAGTCAAACACTTGTGGTCCATTA